ATTAGCATTAGCACTAGCTCCGCCGCCTCCTCCAGAGCCTCTAACGTTAGATGCTGCTGGCGCAACTGCCACCACCAACACCGGGCAAAGCGATGCACCTGACTGCTGGACAACGGACCAGGTGCAATATTTTTGCAAGACCAATGCATGGCTCCTTCTTAAAGATAAGAAGCTAGGATGTCGGATATGCAGAGATGTCAAATCTTTGGGAATACACACTGGACAAGGACTGAAACTGTCAACTGAATGGGGTGAGTGTGCAGTGTCTCATTTCGGTGTTGACAAGGGCAAACAACAAGCTAGCCTGAGAAAAAAAATCAAAGAACATAAAGAATCACAAGCCCATGTAAAAGCTGCTGACATCCTTACATCTGCTTCACGTGAAACTATTCAACATCAAGTGCAGTCTATGCATAAATCTGAATTAGACACCACTATCAGAGTTTTTCGAACGGCATATACAATTGTCAAACATAGCCGGCCATTCACAGACATGCCAATTGATTTGAATGTACAGAAACTGAATGGGCTGAACGTGGGCAGGGTTTTGCACTCCAATAAAACCTGTGGCGAAATCATCGACCACATAGCTCATGAGCTGAAGAAAAAAATGGCAAAAGACATTACAGAAAACCAAAGAAAACTCTGTGTTTTGGTCGATGAATCTACCACTATTAGTGGTAAAACGGTGCTTGTTGTGTGTCTACGCTCAGCATTAGCTGATGCTGAGCCCGAAACGTTTTTTTGGGAGCTGATCGAGTTGGATGGAACAACGGCTGATGACATCACAAAGGCGTTAATGGAGTGTCTTGGAAGAGATTTTAACGAGGACTTTTTAGGTCAGTGTTTCGTTTCTTTTGCATGTGATGGGGCTTCAGTCATGCTAGGGAAGAGAACAGGCGTTGCTACCCAGTTGTGTAGTAAATTCCCAAGCCTGTTTGTGTGGCACTGCTCCAATCATCGTCTAGAGCTGGCAGTTGGGGATGTGGTCAAGGAGGTCTCAGGGCTCAATCATTTCCAGATCTTTTTTGACAAACTCTATTCCTTGTTCCATGCCTCCCCCAAAAATCAGAGGCAGTTAGCGCAGTGTGCGCAAGCAGTCGGACAGCGTCTCCTGGTGATAGGGCGTGTTTTGTCCATCCGCTGGGTGGCTTCAAGTGAAAGGAGCGTCAGAGCAGTCTGGGAAAACTACCGAGTGCTTCATGATCACTTCACAAATGCTGCAAACGACACGAGCAGGGATTCCAGAGACAGAGCAAAGTACAAGGGCCTGGATGATGTGCTCACATCTGCAACGTTTGTCAGCAATCTGGGACTGATGTACGATGCGCTCACAGAGCTCAGCGACCTCTCTCGGCAACTCCAAAAAAGAGAGATGACACTGCCTACAGCAGATAGGCTCTTAACTCGAGAAATACGAGTTTTTGAATCCATGGTCACCATGCCTGGCCCACACATGACTACAGTTCATACAGCTCTAGCTGAGAAGTCCTTCAAGGGTGTTGCCCTGCGTGAGAATGGCAGGCTTGTACAGATTCATGCAGGTCAGTTTTTCCGCAGTATGGTAGAGAATCTGAGACACAGAATGACTTCCACAACCTCCTCTCATGTCAGCACAAGAGAAATCCCATTACATGGCCGGGAGGCCCGGGACAATCAGCTAATCCAGGACATGAAAGTTATCCATCCTGGAAGTTGGCCTGAAGAGGAGTTAGACGTACAGTATGGGGACGTAGAGGTGCTACGTTTGTGCGAAGTGCTGAAAGTGGACAGAAGAGAGACTGTTCAGGGCTTTCGCGAATACAAGGAAACCAGGGCATCCCGTACACTTGCTGCCATGGAGCCTCTACTGAAAGCAGTCCGAACCATCGCTGTCTCCACTAGTGAGTGTGAGCGGGCATTCAGCTGCATGAACGATATCCTTACTGCAAAAAGGAATGCTCTCTCTGTCAGCCGACTGTCCAGCCTGGTTTTCATTAAATGTAATGGACCATCACTAGGACAGTTCAATCCGGAACAGTATGTGAGGTCCTGGCTGGCAAAGGGAAGGAGAAGTGCTGATGAAAGAGCCTGTCCAGCTCCAGCCCCTGATACTGATGTCCCCAAGGCCTTCTGGAGCCTTTTCTAACAATGTGAAGTATATTGCAAAGCAGCTCACCCAGTGAGAAGACTTTTGGCATAATGTGCCGATTTGTACAGATCCTGGAGATAGAAGGACTTCAGACCAACCAGGGAGTTATCTGATCAGCTTGGTGTTCAATGTAACTCTTTACCATGGCTCAGACTTTGTTACTTGCAGTTACAGTTTCTCATTTTAGATTGTGCAAATTTTGCATTTGTTTTTACATGTTCTTTGTTCATGCTCTTTATCATTTTTCTGAGTTGGAAAGTTAGATTGCATCATAGTTTACTTTATACATATTTGTATTCTTCAGTGGTGAAGTATATTGCAAAGCAGCTCAGCCATGTGAGAAGACTTTTGGCACTTTTTCGTTTTTCGTTTTCTGAGTTGGAAAGTTAGATTGCATTCAAAATGTACAGAAATACTTAATTTTGTTAAAGCTTTTTATAAAAAATGCTTCTGACCAGAGCTTTGTTTCCTTGTCATTCATGTTGAACACCACCAGAGGGGCTCTCACCTGAAAGGTCTCTGCTTCATGTGTCTTCAGCAGAAGATCTAGACTTTGATTGCTATATTTTCAGTTAATATTGACCTTACTGAGCTTTAGCCATATCCGCTGCCTATCATAAAAAATGTTAAGTACAGTGAACCTTTCTAAAATATACAGTAGTAAAGAGACAAACCCACCAGCATTATAGTAGCCAAATTCTTGTTTGTGGGCTGTATATATAAAATTGACTTGAAAAAGTTGCTGATTTTAGAGTACTGGCACCTTTTTCATTCCAATTCAAGCACTGGTTACAATGAAGGCTCGATAATCAGCTCACGGCATATAGGTGTAAGCAGGGGTAAAGTGCTATTTTTACAAGTGGGGAGTGGACCTAACATCCTCTAGGGTGGTCCGGGATTTTTTTTTAAATATTGAAGTTAAAAGCATCAATCAATCTGAGAGCAAAATGGGTTACATTTGAAGCCACTGACCCAGAATCAGCACTTTCTCTCATCATTAAAACAATCCCTCAAAACTCACCTTTTCACTCTTGCCTTCAACCCCTAATCCACTAAACCCTCGCCCTTATTCCACCTAGCACTTTTTACTTTTGTTGTTATTTTGTTTCTACTTTACTTGCTTGTATAGCGCTTTGAGCACCAGGAAAAGCGCTATATAAATGTATTATTATTATTATTATTTAGTAACAGGGCTGAAAGAGAGGGGTATGAGGCATGCTGCAATGGGCGATTTATTTGGTATTTTGACCAAAACACTTCTGAGACATGTTTTGTATAGATATGGCCCCTATAATATATTGTTCAAATTGTGCAAAAATTGCGACGGATAAATGAGAAAGAGGGTTAAAGTTCAAGATATAAGACGTTTGTTCCCAATTGTGTGTATTCTGCAGTAGTATGCAGCCTTATTTTTGCATCCATGACCTTATTTGATCGTATCAAATATTCCACTCTGCTATTAATAACAATAATAGATTTATTTTGTTTGCGCTTTTCCAGGTGCTCAAAGACGCTTTACAGATATAGTGAAAAGAACAACAAATAAATAAATATAGTTAAAGTCAAATAATACAAAAACAATCACACATTAAAAGCCAGATTGAAGAGGTGAGTGTTTTGAAGGTGGTGAGGTCAGTGCAGTCTCTGATGGGTTGTGGGAGTGAGTTCCAGAGGGAGGGGGCAGCGACGGAGAAGGCTCTGTCCCCCCAGGTCCGGTGCTCGATGCGGGTGGGGATGGATAGGGGGTTGGCTTCTGATGAGCGGAGGCAGCGGGAAGGGGTGTGGTGGTGCAGCAGGTCTGTGAGGTGGGGGGGCTGATTGTGGAGGGCTTTGTGAGTAATCAGGAGGACTTTGAAGTTGATTATCCATTAAGAAGGATCGTCCAATTCCCTTATTTTTATTTTTAAAATGTAATTGAGATTGAAGTACGAAAATTGTACGACATTGGTGTAAGTTTAAGATTTATTTTATTATTATTTTCCTGAATTTCTTGCACATTTTCCTGAAGAAAAAAACCATATTGTGAGCTTTGCTTTTAATTTATTTATTTTCTATTTCAAGGAGCTGGCGGAGAAGGGTGTGAATGTTACAGAGTTTCAGTGGAAATATTTTGTAAGAACTACAAAGCAAAACTAACAATTGTAATATTAACAATGACTGCAATCTAAAATGTGTCTGAATTATAATCCTGTGATGACTTCCTTGATATACAGCAACACATCATTATCCTTACGTTGCAGTTATTATTTTTGATATGTGTTTATGCAGTGAATCATTATCTTTCTGGTCTATTCCTGCAACTTCCCTGAATGTGCATTCTCTCTATCCAAGAGGGGGCGTCTCCTCTGGTCGAACACATCAGGTTTTATAGAAGTTAACGAGAAAATAATCTTCCTATCACTTCATTAACTCGGTATCACTTCCAGCAAACATATTCTTTATAAGTTTACGGTCTCAATCGCTAGTTTCAAATCAAAATTGTGATTACTTGATAAATATTTAAAACAGTAAACAGTTTACTTATTCCATTTAAGACAATAAGCAGGTCCGCCCCTCCCTACACGCAGAGGGGGCCTCACATCGCGGAGGGGGCCTCACCCGAAGCGCATATGCGGCGCAATTACTGTAAGCGTCCACCCCCCCCCCCCCCCGGGTGTTTTTTTAATACTGAAACATTCAGTCTGTTGGAAAAACCCAGAATACCTGGAGAAAACCCATTCATGAAGACTACATGGATTTAGGGGGAAAGGGGGAACACATTAAGTTAAAGGTAACTTTCCTCGGGGAAGGGGTGCGCTGCCATGTAGAATTTGCCTTCGTGGGCAACGGTTCACCTGCATCTTTTGAACCATGGCGGGCATCACCAGCTCTGGAAAGTGTTGGCAGAACGTGCGGCCTCACATCCACCGTGGCTAGCTGCAGGCTGCCGCGTTCCCGATACCGTTTCATTAAGCACGCCCTGCTTAACGGGGCACTTATGCGGCGCAATTACTGTAAGCGTGCACCCCCCCCCCCCCCCCGGGTGTTTTTTTAATGCTGAAACATTCAGACTGTTGGAAAAACCCAGAATACCTGGAGAAAACCCATTCATGAAGACTACATGGATTTAGGGGGAAAGGGGGAGCAATGGGAACACATTAAATTAAAGGTAGAGGGGAAAAAGTGGGGTAGGGGAGTAGAGGGGTAGGGGGGGGATGTAGATTGGCCATTTAATACATACTACCTAACGTGAGGTGCTCCTGCTTCCTCTTGATCATTTGTGTTTGCTGAGTGGCATATCTGAGCAATGGTTCCCCTGACACTGTCCTGTGGGCTCGCAACACAACCCGAGCGGAACAGATCTTTACTGCAGGAGTGTTTGTTATTGTGAGTGGTGGGAGGCGGGTACGCTGCAGGTTATTTTCACTGTTCTTCTTGTGAAGTGGTGGGAAGGGGGTACACTGCAGGTTATTTTCACTGTTCTTCTTGTGAAGTGGTGCGAGGAGGGTACGCTGCAGGTTACTTTCAATGTTCTTCTTGTGAAGTGGTGTGAGGAGGGTACGCTGCAGGTTATTTTCACTGTTCTTCTTGTGAAGTGGTGCGAGGAGGGTACGCTGCAGGTTACTTTCAATGTTCTTCTTGTGAAGTGGTGCGAGGAGGGTACGCTGCAGGTTCCCTTTACTGTTCTCCTTGTGAAGTGGTGCGAGGAGGGTACGCTGCAGGTTATTTTCACTGTTCTTCTTGTGAAGTGGTGTGAGGAGGGTACGCTGCAGGTTATTTTCACTGTTCTTCTTGTGAAGTGGTGTGAGGAGGGTACGCTGCAGGTTCCCTTTACTGTTCTCCTGCTTGGTGTCCCGGCTTTTAGGAGTGTCCAATCTGGGCAACCGCTCTCCTATTTCTTTCCCACGGTTCTTTGATGACTCCACCCCAGTTGGGGCAGAGTGTCTTCCTGCAGGTGCTCCCGGTGTTTTAATGGTTGGGAGGCGGGTTGGCCGCAGATCAGCAGTACTGCTCTCTTTGAGCTGAAACTTGTCCTTTTCCAGGTACTGCTTTATCTTCTCCTCCGAGGAAGGGGTGCGCTGCCATGTAGAATTTGCCTTCGTGGGCAACGGTTCACCTGCATCTTTTGAACCATCACCAGCTCTGGAAAGTGTTGGCAGATCGTGCGGCCTCACATCCACCGTGGCTAGCTGCAGGCTGCCGCGTTCCAGATACCGTTTCATTAAGCACGCCCTGCTAAACGGGGCAGTACCACGTTTGGGCAACCGCTCATCAGTTTGTCGACAGAAGTAATTGTAATCTGGCATCTCCTGTCCTGTCTGAGCTGCTGGAAGATGCCCGCCCTCCTGCCGCATGTATTGCTGGATTTGTTTCTCTCCCTCAGCAATCTGTTTCTCCATTTCTCTGGAAGCATATACGTCCTCTCTTATCTTCTGTTGACGAAGGGCTTTATTTTTAGCAGCATCAGATAATAAAACCTCTTGATGCTTAATGTTGTTTTGTCTTTTTAAATGCACTTCTCGTTTAGTTTGCTCCTCAGACAACCTGTCAAGCTGTTTCATTTGATGTAACGAGTCCAGGCTGGCCTTTTTCTCCTCTCTCTCCTTCTGTTCATTTCCATGATGTTTTTCCACTCTGTAAGTGGCAATGCTCTTCAGAGCCGCATCCCTCTTCTCCTTCACGTCCTTCTGCCGTTGTATCACTTTAGCCTCTGCCTCGGCCACTTCCTTGGAGAACTTCACCTTCTCTCTCTGGATTCTCTGAGCAGCCTGCTGTTTTTTAGCATCTGCCAGTTGGTCATTAACTATATCCTTAGGAATCTGCTTCATCTTGAATTGTTCTGACTTCTCCTGTTTTCTCTGCTGCAGCACTTCCTCTATGTCAGTCTGAACACGTTTAGTTTCTTTATCCTTCATGTTCAGTTTTTCAATTTCTCTTTCTCTTTGCCAGTTTTTTCTACAGATTTCCTCTTTGCGAAGTTCTAGGTTTTTGTCCTTTGCCTCCAGTTCTTTTCGTTGCTCATGTCTAAGATTCTGTTGATGCTGTTCATCGAGGGCCCAGAGATGGTCTCTTTCTTCCTTCTCCTGCCGTCTCTCCTCTTCTCTCAACAGCTTCTTCTCCTTGGTCCTCTTAATAAGCTCGTTTTTCAGAGCCACATTATCACGGCGTCTCTGACAAATTTTGTCCTCCTCTTTTCTCTGAGCATCAATACATATCTGACGTATCTCTTCTTCCTTTTCCCTTCTCTGTTGGTCAGCCTTCCTCGCTATCTCTCTATTATACGCAGCAATAACTTCATTGTCCTTTCTTATTTTTTCTTTTAAGAGGTCGCTATGGAACTTCCTGACACTTTCATTCTGGAAGAACCTCTTATCCTTGGCTGCGTCAAGCGCCAATGATAAGTGCCGGTCATTTCTCTTGAAATCCACCTCATTTGCAGCCGACTCAGACCTATAGTCCTCCTCTGCCTGTTTGCGCATCATTGTTTGATCCCGGCGCTTCAATATGCAGGAATTGTAGATTGGATGAGCCATTTCAGTTTGTTCTGTGTTGTGGTGTTGTGTTGCGAAAATACTCTCTGTACTGCAACCTGTGTTGTGTCTCAACGAACTGCTGGACTCAAGACTCCTATAAGAATTTGGTTCTACAAGATAAAAGCCAATAATGACATCATCGCATCATGTGACCAGATAGTGACCTCTGCACATTCCGTGTGACATCACTTTGTTCGACTATTAAGTTATTCAAATAATTGCATTCCAAGTTGCCTATACAGTTGCTAGGCAACCAACATTATTGAATTGACACCTGATTCTAAACTAATGCATTCCAATCAGGGGCGGATCTAGACAAATATTCATGGGGTGGCAGGAGATGTTGAGGGGTGGCATCCCCCGGCAGAAGTATATGCTGATTTAATCGCAGTCATATCAATCAATGTTAACTTGGAAAGCCACAATATTAATATTTTAACTCAATAACATCAGGATACATTATTGTGGCACATCATTTAAATATAAATATATAAGGTGGCAGACATAATTTAATGAATTTTAAATGAACAATAACAAATAAAAGACCAGCAGGCCGTACCAAATCTCTGCAGACTGCTGCAATAAGTACATTAATTAACTGTCTCATCAATGTTTGTCTGAATTAATATGATAATAATATGACCCAGAAAGCGACGCAGGTTCTGGTCCAGGCTCTCGTCATCTCACGCCTAGACTACTGCAACTCCCTCCTGGCTGGTCTACCTGCATGTGCCATCCGACCTCTGCAGCTCATCCAGATGGCAGCGGCTCGCCTGGTCTTCAACCTTCCTAAATTCTCCCACACCACGCCGCTCCTCCGCTCCCTTCACTGGCTTCCGGTAACTGCTAGAATCCACTTCAAGACAATGGTACTTGCGTACCATGCTGTGAATGGATCTGGCCCTTCCTACATCCAGGACATGGTTAAACCGTACACCCCAGCACGTGCACTCCGCTCTGCATCAACCAAACGGCTCGCTGCACCCTCGCTGCGAAGGGGACCCAAGTTCCCATCAGCAAAAACACGTGGGTTTGCTATCCTGGCTCCAGGATGGTGGAATGAGCTCCCCATTGACATCAGGACAGCAGATAGCTTACACACCTTCCGGCGCAGACTGAAAACTCATCTCTTTCGACTCCACTTCGAGCGATAGAACTATTAACAAAGCACTTATATACTAATAAAGGGCTGGCTTATCTAAAGCCAGTTGAGTAGCACTTGAAATGTTTTTGCTCTATGAAGCCTGATGTACTTATATGATTCTGTTTTCTTCAAGTTTGTATTTTGTTGGTCGAACGCACTTATTGTAAGTCGCTTTGGATAAAAGCGTTAGCTAAATGCAATGTAATGTAATGTAATGTTAATCTGAGTCTGCATGTGCCTTAAATTGAGAGGATGAAACATTTACATTGATCAGTGGATGTGACCGACAAAGCCTGCAGGAGAAGTTTCTAGTTTAAATCCAAGGCACAACAAAACACCGCCATGGGAATTATTATAGCTGATGCTTTGAGTTGGATCAATATTGTCACAGTGAACAAACAATGTATTTGTGAAATAGTGGAGTTAAAAATACAGAGTTTATCTGGATTAGAAGTATAAAACAGCATAAATACTGGAGCAAAGTACATCTAAACAAAGTATTGACGTTTTGTTTTCAATATTCAGAGCTACTGTCACGCTATATTAGTGGAAATCTTTTTACTTGGAATCCCATTCCCTTTGTTTACAGCCAATAACAGTCCATCATCTTGGAGATAAATGACTTCCCATTAGTCAAATGTTTGTGTCTATCTTCAACGAGCTCCTTATCAATTGGCTACTTATTTACAGATAACAGATTCAAATTCAAAATGCCCCTTGTAGCCCCACTTGTGAACTCCTTGTGGGTGGCACCAATCGGTAAGAAGCCTGGTGATTGGATACTGGACACGTCACTCAAAATATAGTCTGCTCTCATTGGTCCTAAGCCAAAACATGTACCCTAGAAGCCACGCCCCCTTTCATGCAGCACCCGTCGGAAGTTGGTGTGTGAAGTGGAGTTAAAAACGGGATGTTGAGGTAGTTTTTAAACTCTTCGACATTTCTTTGGACAGTTGTTATATTCTGTTGCAGACACAGAAGAACGGTAAGTCGTGGGTTTGAAAGGAATTACATATTGCTCACTTTAATGCAAGAAAAAAGGGGAGGTCCGAAGTTAGCTAGCTAGCTAGTTAGCATTTGTAATTATTAGCCATCACGTTTTAAATATCAATAAAAAAAAAAAACATTAGTCTCTTACAATACATCGTGACATTTTGTTAAGCTTACTCTATTAAGATGTCAAGCCAAATATGGCCATCTTCCTTAAGATATAGGCATGACAGGGGGGACGCGAGAGACCAGGAAGAAAAATGGTTATTTAAGAAGAAAAAAATATATTAAAAAAAAGAAAATCATAATTTAAAAAATGATTGATTTGAAAATAATATGATACAGTACAGTACTAATACGTCTGGGTCTCTGTGTTTCATTAAAGCTCGGCTCTGTGTGTGTGTGGAACGAGCCATTTTGTATGCGTGCGAGAGAGAGAGAGAGAGAGAGAGAGAGAGAGAGAGAGAGATAGAGAGAGAGAGAGAGAGAGAGAGAGAGAGAGAGAGAGAGAGAGAGAGAGAGAGAGAATGAGCTCTCGAAAAGGCTTTTGTCCTTAATCGAAAATGCTATAGGGGAGATAACATCTGTCAATTCAACAAACCACATAGGACTATAAAACCAGTAAAAGTAACTTACATATCCATTCCCCTCCATATCCTTCAGGAAAGGATACCTGAAAATCAATGCTTTGGCCACTTTAATATATTCAGAATTTGTCGGATACCTAGAGAAAGCAGGATGAGAAAGAAAGTTAAGTATTTGTATGATCACAATACTGTAGAAGGTGTGCTGACAAATATTTACAATAGCAATATTTACATTGTGTATTGTGCCATCGTCTCATGCAATATCCTCACGATTTTGTGTCTATCAGTAGACACTTTATGGCATGGTTGTTTTGTGTCCAGTTTGGTCTGGATATCTTTGGGGAACGTTGGCAGGGTAAACACAGCAGGGAAACTCCCATATTCTTGACAAAGAGGCATGTGATTAGCAAAGGACAAAAAAGCTGAAAAATATGTGAGGACATGTGATTATATTTAATCACATTATCGCTATGTGTGAGTGATATTTGATCTTCCATGTAATCAATACCTCTTCCCATTCAATCACACACTCCCATGTCATTGTAAACACATGTTCCTGCTTCCCATGACTGATATTTGTATTCTAATGAAAGTGTCAACCATTTCCCCCCTGATTAGTTAATACATAGAAGTAAAGCTAAGACATGAAAGCTACAGCAAAAATGATCGTAAAAAATAAAATCAGTTGGTTAGTATTGAGCGTTCAACAAGGTAATGTCACACTTGCCATGTTGGAGAAAGACAGTCATTTGGCAAGATCTCAAAAGTCAGCGTTGTAGTTGGCTCTGGCTCCTTCAGCTGGCGTGCAAATTGTAGGAATTTTGCTTGCTTTTTGAAGGAACCTTCAAAGAGGTATGCGACCATCGTCTCGGTCAGGCCATAGGAAATTGCTTCCCCGTCCACATCATTATCTGAAGACACAAATTATGTTAGCAAATCTCAAAACACTTTTCAGAATGTAATCATTCCTAATCCATGCTGACATTATGTCGTTCCACATTCAAGTCAAATCCAATCTCATTGTTAGCAGTTCCAGTTCTAGTCAGGTTAGCAATACATTTGAGTTGATAATAGCCAAGTTTCCCGGGCTGATTTTTAGTCCCAGTCTGCCCCTGCATGTAATCAACATACACTAGCACAGCTGTAAGCTATGGCTAACACTCTGCTAGCTACATGGATGGCTAGCTAATGCCCCTTTCACACCAATGCGGTTCCAGGGCCGGTTCGGAGCGTTGGTCTAAAAGCAAGAACCGCATACTTCACGTTTACGTAGGAGTGGGGTGAGATTAACCTGAGCTAACAGTTTAAGTAAGGCAAATACAAGTTGTAACAAGCAGTAGCGCTGAGCAAAGTGACTAGAACGCAACCACACACTTATTAAAAAAAACACACTTTATAAAGTCAGGCAACACTAACCAGGCTTCGTGTGATTCTGTTTATTTGTACCTTACTTTGACCATCCGTTCGCTGTTATTGATCATTGTGGAGAGCAGGCAGACGTTTTGTTTTGTATTATAGCAGCTATCGGATGGAATCAATACATGGGCTGCACAGGTTGCCATGTCCGACCATCACAAGTAGAATGAACTACATTAATAAACAATGAACCACGGCACTCTGGAGAAAAGTGCAAGGTTGGAGAAGTAGTTATTTAATTTAATCTGGCTTCGTATGATTAAAAGTAACAGGATCATCGACCCGACGCAGGCACCCATTGTTGTTGTTGTGAGCACCGTTGGGGAGAAAATCAGCTACGTAAACGGTGACGTCATGACGCAGCAGCGGCAGCACCAGTCGGGCTCTGGGCGGTGTGAACAAAAAGGGGGGGAAGAAAAACCGGTTTCGAATCAGAAGAGCAAGCACGTAGCTAGAACGGGAGCTGCGTTGGTGTGAAGGGGCATTTCATAGGTAGCTTCGCACACGGCTGCTTCCCGCATAACGTTACATGTCTGCATGTGCTCATGTCAAGCAATCACTACACTTGCACAGATGTAGCTAATCTTGAGCTACGGCTAACTAACGTTGTCTTGGAAAGGAAGAATCTCTCCTTTATTTAAGCAGAAGAAAATAAATATGAGTGCCTTTTCCACAATGAACAGATTAATGTTGGTCAATAGCCCCGTGTCTGTGAGCTTTAGTGAAAGCCACCATGCTAATCACCCATCCAGCAAAGTAGCCAGACAACTGTCACAACGCCTCCATCGCGCGCTCACTGTATGTACATTGTCTTTGAAATAACGTAATGGCTAGCGTCGGCGCTCTGCTAGCTAGGCTAACTATATTCAGTTAGCTAGGTAACGTTAGTTAGCTTCACACACGGTTGCGTTATGACCAATACATTCAAAAACATTTAACCGGCAGTATTTTGTTGTTCTCCAGGGACTATGGAGCTAGCTAGCGTTAGATACCATCTCCCCGGTCTTTTCATGAAAGGCATTAGCCTTAGTTAGCTAAATGTTAGCTACTTGACCAGTCATGAATGAAGGTAAAGTTCACTTACCTCTGAATTTCCTAGCTTCCAGTTCAGTTACTTCTATCCCATATTCTACTACCTTGGTGATAATATCACTAGTGGATAGACAGGTCAAGGCAGAAGTTGTCCCACTGTTCGCCATGTTACATGTAACACCGAGGTCTTTTGAAAAAACGGAGTCTTTCAATCTGGCCAAATATGACCGTTAGATTATCTCCCGCTCTCAGCTCTCTTAACCAATCAGGTGTTGTGTAACATTAACGTCTATTTCTCAGCGAAGCACAGCAATAATCATTCAAATTAAATTAAACCAAGTTTATTATCACATATCATTCATGAAATTAGTGAAATAGCCTACTTGTAAAACAACATTTCAAAAATATATTTTTTTTTTTTTAAACCACAAGGTATTTGCAGCAGGAGGCTATACGTTC